ATAAATAAACACACGGATATATATACATCTGATTTTTCAATTTGTTTTTACGAATATATATATGTGTGTGTGTGTTTGTGTGTGTCTGTGTGCGTGTGTATCCTATGAGTAGTCATATATATACACCTATATGTGTGTGTATGATATATATATATGTGTATGATATATATCTATGTGTGTACATGTATGTATATATATCTTTGTTACAACGTAGCTCATCTTGAGTGTTTGAGTACCCTATTTTTTTATTTTCTTCCCAACGATCCCAACACAGCAGGAGACGTTTAGTCCCTCTCGGGGCTCTTCAATGGAAGCTGAAGTCGACGGTGTCGCTCGAATCGATCAAAACCGAGAGTCCCCATCACCACACCCCCGGAGACCTAGTAGGTACAGTAAATTCATGGATACCGTTTCCAGCTATGATACGGTTGGTAAACTGTCTAGCTATGATACTGCAGATACGCTATCCCGTGCGGACACCATTGGGTCTCATGTGGCCAAGCGGCAGAAGTGTGATACTCCCATTGGTGTAGAAACAACTGAACGCAGGTCTGAATACACGAACTATGTTTCGCAATTCTCTGGATCCACTATCGGTACTCAGGTAGGAGACGAGCAGAACACGTCGAGTATGCGAAGGTACCGAACATCTGACAAGCCGGAAAGACGGTCGGTCATCAGTTACCTGTCGTACAATCGCAGCTCTACCATTGACGCCAGTGGGAGTGACCAGGGAGAGACGAGCTCAGACAGTGACAGTGACTGCACGATATTGCCTGCCATACCACACCGACCCACAGAAAGGACTCACCCACACAGTATAGAACACCTGGTATCCGACGGCCCCAGACCATTCCAGCTGAACGCACTACCCAACACTTCCAACCAACGGCCGCATAGAAGCTCAATCGCTAGCTGTGCCACTTTAGAGACGCCGGAGGAGTGTCTCGAGTCACCATCACCTGACTTCAGTATGGCTCATCTGCTGTACGACCATCGCTATGAGCAACCGAGCAGTTCGGTACAAAAATCGGTAGTTAGCGACCCCACGACATCTGGCATGACCCGTACGCACTCGGTGGCTTACCCTTCTGCCTCTGACAACCCGTTGGCCCATGGATACGCCCCGCCTACACTTTCCAGCACGCACAATCCCATAGCAGTGATGCACCCCTTTGAGACCGTTGACACCAAGTCTTCAGTTGACACCATGTCTTCAGTTGACACCATGTCTCCCGTTGACACCATGTCTCCCGTTGACACCACGTCTTCAGTTGACACCATATCTCCCGTTGACACCATGTCTTCAGTTGACACCATGTCTTCAGTTGACATCATATCTCCCGTTGACACCATGTCTCCCGTTGACACCATGTCTTCAGTTGACACCATATCTCCCGTTGACACCATGTCTTCATTTGACACCATGTCTCCCGTTGACACCAAGTCTCCCGTTGACACCATGTCTTCAGTTGACACCATGTCTTCAGTTGACACCATGTCTCCCGTTGACACCATGTCTCCCGTTGACACCATGTCTTCAGTTGGCACCATATCTCCTGTTGGCACAAGAAAGAGTGCGGTGTCGTACGCCTCAGCGTCTAACCGCTCGTCCATCCCGAGAACTGAGTCGCCAGCATTGCCGCCAACATTACTACAGCGTGCCAGCGAAATCCCGTTTGGGGCCCACCAGGCTGAGTATGCCTCGCCTGATATGAGGACATATAGACGACAAGAGCCAACACGTCTACCGACACGCTCATACAACACCCATAGTACACCACGGGCAAACGAGACCTTCTCCTACCCCTCAGTCAGACACAACCCGTTCAAATCGACGAAAGCCCTACCACCACCATTACCTGGCCTTCACGGTAAAACAGGTCTGAACGGGTTCTCCTGTCCCACCTCTGAACGCATAAGGCCATCGGGGCCAGGGCTATCAGCAGCACCGCCGCACAGTTTGCCACAGGCCTCACACAGTCGTCCGGTGGAATCTCGAGAGGAGATTGTGACTATCGTGATGACTAAGGAAGGGCTTAGAGTGAGAGTCCCGTTTAATATCATGACTGGCAGAGCAGCGTCTGTTTCTGGTCTCATACCGTTTGTTCCTGGAACGCAGGTATGTGTCAGAAATGTTAGACGACATCCCCCCTCGTCTCCAAGGCCAGGGGTGTCATCCGGTATACCATTCACGCCTATGTATTTGTCCGAGGCCGAGCTTTTGTCTCAACAGAAGGCTGAGGCCGAGACGTCCCTGGCGAACCCAGTGTCTAGTGCCCGATACAACTCGAGATCTAGGCCATCACCAACACGACCACCTTTAATAGAGGGTGCGGGGGGAGGTCTACCAGCGTCGCTAGAAGCAAGGTTTAAGAACATCTTGTACGGTCCAACGTCTGTGCCACCCCTCGCTCGGAGTGCAGCCACACGCCCATCGACAACAGCCCAAATGTCGCAGCGGTTCGATGCGGGCTCGTTCGCAACTCGCAATGTGGGGATGAAGTCCGTGCTATCCTTCTCCGCTTCAGCCTTTCCCACAGCTTTGAGGGCCGCTCACTCACTGCGACAGGTACCGTCGGGACGCTTCTCACTTGACAGTTCGCCCGCACCCAGTGAGAAAGTAGACGGCAGCCCCGACTCTCCTGTCGAAGAAGCTAAAGAGGTCATAGATGTCGATGCATTGTCCGACTGTCCGCAAAGCCCGTGTGTGGATCCCCAGGCAACGGAGCCACCCTTGTCCCGTCAGTCACCTGAAGACGTACAGGTCTCTCAAGATAACACTAACACAGACGTGCCGCTCGCAGGAGAGCAAGCCGCACTACACTCCCCACCATTGCATCCGTTGCCTTCAACTCCAGACTTGCGTTCGCCTTTCACGCTACCGCCTTTGACACATCAGCCGCCAACCATCCCGCGCCAGTCCTCCGCTGCGACAGACATCGCGGCCACGGACGTATCTCCAACACAAACCGGAGCACACTCAGTCTCAGGTGCATCTGTACTCAAACCTTCGTCTCAGACAAGCAGACGGTCCTCCACTTCACTGCCGCCACTAAAACACCAGTCCCCTACCGTCTCTCGCGCCCATATGCCTCAAGATCTGAACGGAGCCAAGACCAGCTCTTGTTCTCCAAGCAATGCAAACGCAGAGTAGCCACCACAACGGCCGCCTTCGGCAATGTGAGTTGAACAGGCCCGTAAAGAAGGGTTTAGGGTTTTTTGTGTTAACTTTTTGCATAAATACATAATATATATAGATATATATATATATATGTATATATATATATATATGTATATATATATATATATATATATATATATATATATATATATATATATATATATATATATGTGTTNTTNTNTATNTAT